TCTCTCACTCCCTGTCTCTCCCCCTCTCTCCCCCCTCTCTCTCTCTCTCTCTTCTCATTCGTTCGTCTTCCTCTGTTTTGTTCTCCCTTTCTGCGGTTTCTCTCCTCTCTCACTCTTTCCTTCTTCCTCCCTTTGTTTGTTGCTCTCCCCTCGTCTCTTGACGTATCCTCTTGGCATCATGTTTTTGCAGCAACATTATAGCCTTTAAGCAACATCATCAAGGTTTTGGCAACATCATGATAGTGGTATTGCAGCATTTGCCACTTCAGGGTACATTTTTGATGCTTAGATTCCTTGCATTTCACCCATCACTACGAATACGATAAATCGCGCGGCGACCAAACCTCCACGTTCACCGCTTCGCCCGCGAAACCAACCCATCGTCCATCAAATATCGGCGATTTCTCGGCTATTGGGTTTCAAAGTACCCAAAGTACAAAGGCGAGACCGGATCCACCAAGACATCTATCTCCCTGCGAGACCGGTGTAATAAAACCATTTTTCGACGAAAAACTGTGGGGCTCGTCACATTGTCAGGGCTTCATCAATAATCCGCCCAGCGGCAGCGGACCGGTTGAACGGCCGCGCTGGCTTGCCCAAGATATGGCGCACCAGATTATGGTGATTCGCGTTTGTTAGGCCGGCTTGATTCGTTTTGGGGAAATTTGTCTGCCCGTCTGTGACGGAGACTGACATAACGAACCGGTGGCGCGACGCTGAGCATATCGGGGCTGGCAGCTCGGACTGATAGAGCCATAATCCCGTGGAGGTAAAGAAGGACGCGCAGTTTTTATGAAGCAGTTATAGGCGACATGCAACGAGGACAATCATTGCAAAAAATATGTTCAGGAAGCATGATGTAACATAGTATGCATATCAGCGACGTTTAAAGAACAGACGATTAGCAGATTGCGTTGATCCTTGCTAGCTATTCCAAATGTTAAGCCACATGCCCACGCCACGGCTAACTCGATTATCAAAAATCAGATGAATAATACATGCATTACTGAATGCCCAATGTGTCATTGCAAGCTGTTTGTTTCAAGTAGGTGTGTCTGTTCTGAAATCGGTTTGAGCCAATAAAGCGGACCTGACGGGTTCTTACATCCGGATTTCGAACTGCATTTTGGCCACTTTGATTTGATGCCAGATCTAAATCTCTTTGATTTTAGTGTCAAATTCAACGTAAGAACTGAGCGGTTGCAATATTACTCGAATGCTGCGTTTCCATTTAAAGTGGTGTGACAGTGATAATAATGACATGTTAGAATGATGATAAATAGTAATGCGTTTAGGGCCTAGTGTAGCAGCAGTTCAGACACTTGCTGCATTTTATTGGTCCAATCTTCCCTTTTTGCTCATATCCACTAAAGGAGGGGGGGGGGGGGGCAGAAGGCCATTGAAGGGGACGGAGTCAGCATTGGGGGTCTAACATCCCCCCGCGAGTATGCAAAGTAGCACTTCTAGACTTGCAAGCATTTAAAGCTGTCTGTTGCGCACATTGCAAGCTATTTCACATTACCTGGAATGCTGCAATTATATTACGTTGAGCTGGCTAGATCCTGGGACAACGGTGCGCTTAATAAATGTCCTCAGTCGTGAATGAAAACAGAAACAGACGCGAGCGCAGCTGTGGCCATCTCGTCGCCCCGTACACGGCAGCTGATTGATGTTCAGCAGCCAGCGGCCGGCGTTTGTGCACTTTTGTGTGCAAGCCGACTGCTTCAGAAAGGGTGAAACATGAGCAATGTACCCTGTGCCGTTAGACCTGTTGAGCAGCAAAAGCCAATATGAGCGGGTTTCAGTGAAACCGGTCGGATAAGGACAATACACCAGTCTTGAAGCAGAGCTTGCATGCTTCGTATGCAACTACAGACTATGGGTGTGTTGGTGTGATAGCGCCACAGCTCAACAATTGGTCCTGTTTTGGTATGAGAATATTCTGACATATGTTTCAGAACATTCGGTTGGAATAGCTAGAACTTCTTGGAATAGCATGATTCCAATTTATTATTCAGACAAACCTACAGCCTATGGCTTCCGTTACTTATTCGCCATGCTTATCGCTGTCAACTTCGATGCAAACTGAAAACATATCGGGTTAGGCAGAACAGGTGCGTAATGGCCGAGCAGCTGGTGCCTTCTCGTAGGGGCCTGGGTTTGAACCCCGGTTGCACCGTAGTCCCTAGCACTAATGTGGCAACTGCAGTCGCTGGCGCTCCAAAACCTGGTAACGGGGAAACGGAGATAACGGGGCAACGTGCGTTACCTTCTCTAAAACCTCGTTAGGCAGAACAATTATGAATGGGGGCAATCCAGCAAAATGTCATCTCTGTCCAACATACCTGAATTAAACGTCTTGGGGGGAAGCGGCCAGTGACGCAGGGGCTAGTGACGCAGGCTTGGTGAGAGGGAGACACAAGGAACACATCCTCCCTTAGGTCCCGCGGGGCCCAGTGACCCTTGGGACCGACGATTAAGTGCTCGATTTTATTAACTGAATTACCAGAGGGGCTTACCGGATGTCACATAAGGGGCTCCGCCGCCCAGGGTCGTGCCCTCAAATGCTAGTCAGAGGGCCCTTTGCGCCGATCGGGGGCTTCCTGAGTCGACAGGGGCCTCTATGTCGGTCACAGCTCCACTAGTCCGAATAGTCGGCTCCGTGTCGATTTGGGTCTAATACCCCATTTCCCAATCAGGGACAATGCTGCGGCCCGCGATTTACCTTGTGACGGGCCCTTTGTCAGCCAGGGACCCACGGTGTCAAACAGGGGTCCAGCGGGAGCCCTCCGAGTCGACCAGAGGCAGTGTTCAAAGGGGTCCGAAAACGAAACCGGAGACCTTCTCGGGACCGAGATCACTGGCCTAATTGGGAGGTGTGAAGGGCTGTCGATCACATTAAGGACCCGGTCTGTAAGGCTGGGACATTCAAATAAAGAGGCCCTCAGACTGCGCCAGCCAGAGGGCCTCTTGCACCGCTTGGGGACCACTGAGACGGGGACCACTGTACGAGTTATCCCTATAAGGGCCTCTGGATCGACCAGGGGTCCCTCGTGCCGCCAGAATGGTAGCCGGGAGGCAGCCCGCGCTGGGATGGCATTGCCCTCCACTCCCTCCCCTGACTGGGAACGGTAATGTGCCTCTTGTTTTTACTCACAGGTTTCCTTTCTCGTAAGCGGTAAGGAATCCCCTTAGTGTTCAATAAGGTGGATCAAAATGAGTAAAAAGAAAACGAACACCAGCCCTTGTTTATCTGAGGACGCCGATAATTTTCAGAATCGGCCGGGGAAACAAATTATATAAAATAAGTCCTAAGGCCGTGCGCTCGCAATCCAAGAAATGGGAGCGCCGATGGCCGAGCTATAGTTCGTGTCAACCCGAACGGCGTTGGCCGCTGCAGATAAGGCCAGGTAGTTAGGCGGCTGCCGCGCAAGAGCAGCCGTCGTGACATAGCAATCCTGGAAGCCTTTCAGCATTAATTCCGACCGCTCAAAGATGAGGCTGGGGCACATATTCACTTGTCTAAATTTAGTGTTACGCTCTAAACTGATAGCAGATATAGCAACAGGAAAATAAAGACACTACCTTTACTCTTTCGGTTCCACCACCAGATTCCAGCTTCAGCTGGTGGTGCTGTAGACCCTAGTATGTACTCAGTATCAATACAAATTGGCACAGTTGAAGCTTGTGCTCGTACTTTAAACAAGCCCACGGATGTTTTAAAACGTTCAAAGGTATTTCAGATGCATCATCACTTCTGTTCGCTCGGTGGCCATCACCTTGTGTTAGCCGCGAGTCGACTCCGCGGAGCTCATGGAGACCGCACCGTCAGGCGCCGGGGTTTGCGTTCTAAAACTTGCAATCGCGCATTTTCAGACTATGCCAAATAATCCTGTTTCACTATTTGATCCTGATTAAAGAATGATTAACCCCAGATACACATGGGTTGGCCATGTTAATACAAGTTTTAGACCCCATTCTAATATACAATCGCGCTCACCGGGTTCTCAGTATCTTTGAAGAACCCATAAAGCTCTGGCAAAGCCGCTGGGTGCTATCGGTTTAGAAAGAGTCCACTGAAGACCAGACCATGTTCAAAGAGTCTTAGCATTGAATAATGCTGACAGCTTATTCCGTGCAGTCACTTAGTGCGCGATTACTTTAGTTTCTTGGCCTCAAAATGGTAACCGAATTGGATTTTCCGGAAGCTTTTGCCTTCTATTCCAGTTAAAGGAGATAAGTATGGAAATAAGATAAAGAAAATCTTACCTCATCTGAATAAAGTGGTCAATTTCCGGTGATTTGTTTGTCCAGGGTCACCATTAGGAGGCTCTTTATGAACCCTGTGCCCCGATCGCTTTATCATGACTGGGTGGGCCCCCCCCGAACGGGCTGATATGAATGACTTCTTGATATGAGTCAGAGGGTATTGTTAAAATGCATTCTTAAAAATAACGGTTGCATGACCACTTAATTCTGCTCATTTCTCTCTCTTTCTATTTCTCTTTCTTTCCCTCTCTCTCTCTCTCTCTCCTCCCTCTCTCTCTCTCTCTGTACTCGCCATGCAGAGTACACCGCAATGCAACAGATCGTAATGGTGCTTTCGTTAAGGGTCCTGTTAGAGTGGGCTGACCAGGATGGTGGGTTCGCGTTGGGCCCTGTTAGAGCGGGCAAACCAGAGTGGTGGGTCCGTATTGGGCCCTGTTAGAGCGGGCAAACCAAAGTGATGGGTACGTGTTGCGGCGTTGTTTCCGAACACTCGATGTTGTATTTGGTGTTGTAAAGTTTGCGGAATCTGCACATTTGCTCCAATATTCGAAAACTATGAATCAAAATGATCTGTATAGAGCCCAGGATGGCTGACGCGCGACTGACCCCACAGTGCTGACGGACCACTGGGGTTGTGTGTCTCACAGCATCCGTGAGGTGCGATGACTCACTCGGGCCATGAGATTGGCGGGGAGGCGCCGGCCTGACCTGACCTGACATGACACGCTCTATCTCGCCAGGTGAACGGCATCTGGGGACTGCCGGCCTTCGTGTGCGACCTCTACATCGCCACCGACGTCACCAGCAGCACGTCCTCCATCTTCAACCTGGTGGCCATCAGCATAGATAGGTGAGTACGCGCCAAAAGCGCGCAGCGTCATCCATGCTCAGCGTGGCCACCGATTTTGCGAAACTTATGCGTACCTGTCTGACCAAGTGCCTAGGTGTTTTATTGGTGATTATCTCACAGTTCCTCATTGGTTTACTCTTTCCACTGATTGGTGCTTATGGACAATGACCAATTATTTAGAATTAGTTGACAATATATCACCGTATTATATTATCCATTTGCTGGCCATATGCAACAATGTAGGTGTGGATGTGTCAGAATAAAAAGTTGAACAAGGGTGTTAAGGACCTTGTTGAGCAAGTTCATTGCTAAATTTAGAATCCTAGAATGCGAGGCTGTTGGAGAATATCTGTCAAGTTCGAATGTTCAGCAGAGAGTGTCCTTCACAGGAGGACGAACCAATGCTGCGAAGTGCCATTGGATGGGCGTACAAACGCTTGCTACCAATATGCTTGGTAGATTCACTGAAGAGCACGGTGAAACGGAGTCCTATGGAAGGAAACGAGACTAGTCTGGATTCATATTAGCGGCGGGTCTATTTATACCCTCTGTAAGCGTGTGTATTATGGTCTAGAGCAAAATCATAAGCGTAACTTAAGAATGGACATCAACTCACTAGCATCTATGAATGCTCACGTTTCACGTTATCACTCGTTGAGATCGATCCCTGTATTGCGGTCTGCTGAGCTTGGCGCGTTTTGTGACTGGCCAGCCTCGAACCTGATGATTCTCTCCCATCCCCATTCATTTCCCCGTAGCTAGGCTAACCATTCTTACATCCTACCAATACTTTTCCTGCGCTTGCTTTCTTTGTTGTTCCCCACAATCGTCTAATTTCTCATCGCCGTTGGGGAGTTAATAGCCACCAGTGTGGGTACATGTCGTGGCGTGTAATACAATACAATATACACAATGCAACACAATGCAGGACCTCTCCGCGACCACATGCATGCTCCAAAGCATAACGTCAACTAATTTAGGAACCCGTGTAAAAGTCGTCACGAAAGCCATACCGTGTTTATTCCCACCTTGTTTGTTCTGCCATGCAAAGTTAGAAACCCCATATGCCCCGAAACCATATTCAGCATAACTTTGTCCACGGTGGGCATGATCCTTACCTGATTATGGTGTGGCATGATCCTTACACGATATTACAATGCTGAACCAATCGCTTTAAGACATCAAAATGAAACTCCCTAGCAATAAGCTTGATATTGCAACGATAGTATGGAAGCTAATTATGGGCAGTGGGCAATATTCTAGCAAGTTCCAACACAGATTCAGCCCGAAAACGGCTGAGTCCGACGCTGCATGTCCTAGCAAGATCCCAAGTCATCGGACCACAAGACAAGCTGGTCAACCAGCCGAAGATTATGAATCAGTGTGCAATCTATGATTACCACTTGCTTCTGTTTCCCACTTGCACTTGATTACCATTTGCACGTTTTTAATGCATCAAGAAGTACACCTCAAGGGTCACAACAGAACCTCTCGACTGGGCTCGACCCGCAACCATCTGGGCATGGATTTAAAATTTCACGCGTTTCTTGATGAACTGCACCGGCTGACTGGAGATCATCACCTTTCACAAGGCTCCTGTTGTCGTTAGCACAATGTTTGCTGGACGCAAACTCTAGGAAAGCCGCGTAGGAGTGGAAGGGTCGGGTGGTTAGCACCTTCGCGTTTGATTGCAAGGTGAATTTCAATGTTGTTGTGCCCCATGGGCGTTAATATGACTACTGTGGTAGCTGGCGCTCCGCAAATGGACTCCAAACGGTGAATTACTCACAACTTTGAAAAAGAAAGCAGCCCTAAGGCGACGTAAGCACTATTTTTTATAGCAATGGAAATGATCCATGCGTGAAACATTTTTTAGTTAAGCAGGCTGGTTCCGTTTGCACTGGATGCCATAGATCGGCCCCCAAACGTTATGCAAGATACCTGACTGCGGTTTGTACGCATGGATGCCTCTTTAAGCCTTCAGGTGTTTACATTAGTCATCATTTATGCATTTTCCAGAAATGGGCAGGTCTTTCAGCATTCTGTTCCTTGCACCAAGCTTTGCAGCAGTCATCAATTAGGCTTTGTTCGGGAACCTGCTCATTTGTACATATATTGTTCCATGTGCCAAGTTCATGTCTGGATTAATGTGTGTCCATCATCTATTTTCTTACCCTCGCAGTTATTTTCTGATCCTCTAAGCCTGCTCAAACAGGGCTCAGCCATACTTGAGCCCACGGCAAACCTCCTGGGAACTAGCGCACGGGCCAGGAAATTCTTCGCTATCCATACAAATCCCTCAAAGTCCTTGATCCCAGCGGAGCAGATCTCGTGTAATTGCCAGCAGCAGGTGAAATATTTTTCTGTCACGCTGGGATATGAACGCTATATTCTTGCCGCTGTTCGGGGGGAAGTTGCAATGGTGGACCGCGAACAGATTTAGCCACATCCTGGCTATAGATACACATAATTAAGCAGTTCGATGAGTGAACCTCGGCACTCATTAACGTGATGAAGGAAATCACGTCTATCATTAGTCCGCCGGGGGGGGGGGGGGGATGGGTGCGTGTGTGGTAGGGGTCAAGGGCTAACCGACGCCTGAGCATGAATGGGAGCCGCCTCATGGTCACAGGGCACCTGTCACCGTGCCGTCCTGGCGGGTGGTGAGCTCCAATCAGTCCCCATTGATTAGAGCGGGGCGGCGCGCGGAAGTCACGCCCGATCGACCGCAGTCTGCCACCTTTGACGCGGCCGCGCCCCGGCCGCCCTGCGCGGCTCAGACAGCCTTCAGCAACCGTCAGCGGGGCATTGGCCGCCTCAAGGCATGCCGCTGAATGGTCCCCGTCACTCTTCATTTTAGGGAGGCTCAGCACAGAATGGCAGCTGGGACGGGCGCCGCACGGGGGTCCGAGATTTCGGTCTGCGAAGTTTGAAGCGCGGATCGAGCATTACCGCAAATTGTGAACGAGTAACGTCTCGGCGGCGTTGGGCAGACGAGCTGATAACAGACGCCGGGTTGTCATGTAGATGACGCCAAACATAAGCAAATAAAACTTACATCCTTTTAAAACACCCAATAAGGGATCGTCAAAGCCTGGTGTACCCTTCTTACGTTTAACAGACAGAAGTGCGCTGGGACCTAGCAAGCACCCACGACTGTAAAATCGGCACTGCTTGACCATGGGCTGGGTTTGGGTCCGGGATATCATTATTATTACGGTGTGGGCGAAGGCTGGAAATCCTAACCTATCGCAGCTGCGGATTTAGAGTGAGCTGTTCTTTTGGGTGAATTTGACCAAGGCATCGCGAAGATGTATGCTCTGGATAGTGTTTCCCCACATTGAGCTAGAATACGCGCCCGTGTAGTGTCATGGCCCAGTATATCTCGGTTTGGGCTACAAAGCCTCGTTTCGAGAAAGGTCCCTGTCCGCTTCTGGTAGATTGCTGGTGCACCTAAAGATCAGACATTGTTGAGTCTTTTTACCCTTGCTTGCGTGTTGTAATTGGTTTCGCGTCTCCATCGTCGCCGATTATCCATTGGAACGTCCCCAAACGGCCGGGCAGGCTTTCTCAACGAAGAGCGTACTTCTTCCTGCACGCATTGACCCACGTCTCTGTTAATACGGACATCCGTTGTTCGCACCGGCAAAGAGCGTTATTCTCTCGTCGCTGCGACCTGTGGTCGTTGAGGCCGGGGTCATGTTTTGATACGCGCTATCCAGCTCCTTCACAAGTAGCGAACCTTGCGGCTTTTATAAAAATCGAATTAGGAAGGCCGTACTTGGGCATTATGAGCTGACCTTACTCCGGTCATAACGCACTTGTGCTATACCAGGAGGTACTGCGTAAATGACGTCATGACGCAAGCACTGGCTGCATTGATAAACCTAGACGCTTCATGACCACGTGAGACCATAAGCCCATATTTTAAGTGTTCTGTTTGCACTTTACTTACCGTCACGCGAAATGAGGCTTAGTGCGTGGATTCAATTTAAGAGTGAAAGAATTACCGTTTACTCTCAACTAACAAGCTTCGACAAGCACCTGTTCTGAGTTTAAAGCGATTTATACAATTCGCTCCGAGCAAGTTTGACAAAGTTTTGAGAGCATCACAAGCTTGAAGGGTCCTTACAATTTTAGATTTAACTGGCCATGTTCTTGAACTGCCAACGTGTTTCATAAACTTTCTAAGAGCTCAGCTGTTTTTTTGTTATCCAACTTGCCGCGTTGTCTGTAGTGTCCGCAAGCTTTAAATGCGAATTCTAGGTTTGATTCAACACGCTCAACCCAGGTCCTTGTGCCACCAATTACAACCGTGCAAGCCAATTGACAATAATTCACCATTTCCCAGGTACATTGCCGTCACCCAGCCAATCAAATATGCCAAGCACAAGAACAACAATCGGGTCATCTTCACCATCATCCTGGTGTGGATGACCTCAGCCGCCATCGGGGCTCCGCTCGTCCTAGGTGAGGCTGTCCGGCGAGGTCGTCCGAGCGTGGGCATCCGCGCACAGTGCACACTTCAGCCGGTGCCGCTGATGATTCAGTAAGACTGACTGCCAGACCTCACGCTTCATGGTAACGCGTTCCCAGTCTGCATTCGCAGACTGCGTGATTCAGCTTCTGACCTGCTGATTTTGTTTGGATAGTCAGTAAGGTGACGAAAAACCGTCGATTACATTAGTGTGCCCTGAATGGAAAACATGTAGTTTTACGAGAGCCAAGTCAAGTCATGAATTCTCGTGACGATTTTGACACCGAGCTTGACGCATTTCTTCATCCTGGACAAGTTCTCATCAAAGATAATCCGTGTACATACCCACCGGTAAGACATTCACTACTGAATGAAAAGAACAAAAACCGGATCGAGTCGACAGCCGAGGTCGTGTGCGGGTTCCAAAAAAGGAAGCAGTCAGACCACCAACTATTTCGCTTCAGTCCTAGATACAGCTAAAAAAAATTTAATTTCCATGGGGGCCACGAAGTGTTTACCAGGTTTCGCAGAATATAAAGGGGAAGAAGCTGCAGCCTTAATCCGCTACATTCAGGACCATTTCGATGTTTCGGACACCTCGGCTCTTGACAGACGATACCAGTTTTGACCCACTACACACAACAGCTTAACTTGTATGAAACAGTGCACCTGTGGAGGCTTGCATCGCCCAGCCAGCACAACGCTTTTGGCATTTGTGGGCTTTCAGGCACTAACCTGACCAGCAGAACGGGCGCTGACCGTGAGCGAGGCCGCCAACCGAGTGAATCTCACGTGAGCGGTGATGACAATTCCAAGCTTTTGACTGGCGAGGCCCAGCGTTACCCGGGTAGCAGCCCTCCAGAAGCTGATATTCATGCCACAGCGATGCAGCCAAAAACCGAGAACCAATTCCGAACAATAATCACAGCTTCGTGCACTTTTCGGCAACAACACCCACAATGCGTTTAAATGTTCAATTCGCTCAACTCGTATGTCTATCTTAAGACATTTTTGTGCAATACATTTTACCAAACTAAAGCTGTCTGAAACATTGCAATTTTGAAAAATTGTCTTCCTTGTTCCACTTACATAAGAACTGAAAAATTGCGAGCTGCAAAAAGTCGCCTACCATGTACGAAGCCTGACGCAGATTTTGGCGGCCTGGCGCTGTCGTAGCGACACGAGACCAGCACTGTTAGACATGGGAGTGAACAGGAAAAATCACACCAGTCTCATGGCAAAGAAAATCGTCAAGAGATTTTGACTCGACGGACGGGAGAACCGTAGCGAGCGATGTCATCACTCGGCCGGAAAGCAGGCAGTAGCCCTGCTTGCACAGTATTTTTTGTAGAACGCAGGTGCGGCTAGTGGCCAAGTGGTGATTGCTCGCTGGACAGCTTTTGCTACAGCTAACGTTGCGCGAACAAGACATCTCACTTTCATGCGAGTTTCTCTTCACATTTACTCCGCCTCTCCCTCCACCTTGACAGCATTCGACCAATCGTGACCGTTGACACATCTAGGACGAAATCTAAACCAAACAGCGACTGACCGCGGCCGGGACTTTTAAAGGATATGGAAGCCTGTCCGCATGGCTGTGCGGCCGGGAGCGCTAAATGTCACCATATGAGACCGTGGGCCTATGCATAACATTCTCTTGGTTTAAAGGTGTTGAAATTATTCTGCCATTCTATACTCTACATATCTCAAAGGGCTGAATGTTATTAAACAAGGACGTTCACAATCACATTAATCACATAAGCCTGCTGGACTTCCACGTTGCTGTCGACAAGCAATCATATGGCCATTTCTAGAGAATTTCTCGGGCCGCCACTGTGGCCTACCTGGCAACATATCAAATCCCATGTCTACGGGCTAGCGTCGCCGTTACACCGGTCTTGAATATGGGCGTATTTTTATCTGGACCAATCAATGTTACCCGATTAAATTACACACTCGCACTTATCAGTTTACTGCGTCCGGTCTCTACTAACAGCACTGACTTTTTCGTGGTACGTAAATCACAGAGTCCATGAACGTCAAGATTTGATTTCACCGATTTTGTCTTCCTGGAATGGCTGGAATAAACTAGGCTTAAAGTCAGACAGCCTGCCACCTGGCCGTCTCAGCCAACAGGATTGCTGAATTAACGCACCAACGCTGCATCAGCAAACATCTGAGCCTGCTGGACTATCGTGGAAGATAGCGTTCCAATGCACTGATGGAGCCCATTGGTGCGGGGACCCAGAGGTGTCTGCCTCCTGTCGGTTAAGTTTTGGTGAGGTCCAAATGATGGAAAGACCGTCCCGACCGATGGAAAGACGTGTTTGTGACCGTCCCGCTCTTCCGCGCCGCGCAGGACGACATGCGCACCATGGTTTGGTATGGGGGATGTCTTTCCCGGCTGTTTGTAATCAAGAATAGCATGCTATGACATGCTATGACAGATAATGAATCATGTCATAACAGACCTTATTTGCGACATTTGTTCCGCCAACTCCTAGTCCCCAGAAGTTGATCTGTCATTCCGCATCCGATGGGCCACGTATTGCGATACGTGGCCCATCGTCATCATCATTATCACATCATCATGGACCAATAACTTGGTGTGACCTCGCCAGCTGGCGCCCCTGACAGTCCTGCTCGCCCGCAGTACTCGTGGCTGAGCGGCGCGGCATGTTATCATTATTGCTGCATATTGCGGCGGATGGGTTCAATACAATTAACACCGGGAAGAGCTTGATGGCGCATTTCACTTCTTTATGACGCAGCATTTACGCAATGTCATAGCAAGGGATTTGGTGAAGTGAATGGAATATAGGGGCTATTTTAGAACCAGGGAGACTTTACAGTTAGCACCGGTGCAAATGGTGCCGACCAAGCAAAAATGCCCGACTTTTTATATTTGAGCGATAATGTAGCCTTGTTATGTCCTCAACTAGTATTCACACAAACCTGCACGATCAGAAAGACAGAAGTAGATAAGCCATATTCCTCCTGTTGATATTTGCCTCGCCTGTGGTTACTCAAGACGGCCTTCTCTTAGCTAAGCGAGTTGAAATGGGCGGAGTTCAGGGCTTAAATGAATTTGTGTTGGAAGCAAACAAAAAACTATAAAAACTCCAAGTGCACGCTAAAGCTTATAGAAGCCGGAAGAGAAAACGACGTGAAAACTCCCTTTGCTTGGTAGGCATTGAATGATTTAAGTACGGTACTTTCGTTACGTCATACATCTTTTACTAGGGTGGGGGAGAAATCACGCCAATGAAAGCAAGCAGGCATGTCAACCGGGAAATTTCATTTCCCTTTTGCGTGTAGAATAAGTGACAATTTTTGTAAAGGAATTTGCTTAGCCCTCGTCCTTCGCTGATAACTGATCGCATCATTAACCTGTTTCAGGGTTAAATGTGCCGTCGGATGGAGTGCTGCGGGACGAGGAACAATGCATCTTCTACAATTCAGACTTCATCATCTACTCGTCCTTGTCATCTTTCTACATCCCTTGTGTCATCATGGTGTGCTTGTACTACAGAATATTTCAGGTATGTCCATTTCCGTAAGCTTTTCTGACATTGATCACTTACAGTAAGCAAATGTTTTGAAGAGCATGTGAATGAATAAACGAATAAGACCAAACCAGAAGCAGCGCTGGGAAGACTAGCTTTTCGTCCAACAAATACTTTCTTAATAAGCAACAGCATGAAAATTAGTGGTTTTCAGCAATGCAAATGCAAGTTTGCTGTAGTGCGTTACTATTACTACCTTCGAAAAGCCCGCCATTACAACGCATTTTTCATACGAGGTTTGTTCTGGAGCAGCTTTTCCGCCACCGGCATGTGCAGCAACTGGTCTATTTTGGGTCTTAATTTTACTGGAACTCTAGTAGAAGCTCTTTCAGTTTTGCGACCACTCACTGGCTCAGCCCACGCCAGACAGAGCTTCTGCTGGCTGTTACTATTCTGGAACGCAGAGGGCTCTGAGCGGAATGGTGATGAGTGTGCGCTCGCTCCTTTGTCACACTTGCACAATTCCTGATGCAATTCCTCCAACGTTGAGGGGACTCACTGGCTGGTCCCAGCGCCAAACAGAACATCGCTACTGGCTGCATTGTCTGGCAGGCAGATAGCCAAACGAAGCATGTGGCCATCCACGTGCCCGTCGATATTGGTAATATGAATAAACATACGGGTACAAATATGAGTGGCATAATAGGCAAATGAGCGAAGGTAGAAGGCTGTGGAGTAAGAGGAAGGATGACGGGTCAGATCAACGGAATGCCTGGGGCGAGATGTCGGTATAGACGGAAGCCAGACCAAGAAAAACATAACTGTCGAGTCGTTCGCATCTGACGTTCGTGAGCACGGTTTCCAGATATAACGGCCGTCAATTGGCTCTCCATGAATAGCGTGCAAGGTAGGCTGACGTAATCAAACATCGACGTATTGATGAGTGTATTTACTAAAAAGAGAAATCGTGTTGTCTAGAGTAGTCTTTTCCACCTAAAAGCATACGATAGTTAGAAGCAAACATACTTCAACGTACATGATTCTTAAGTCAATATTTTCAAATGTAGAACATTGTCTTTAAATCATGATCACTAGTATGCAGTTGATCATATGTGTTTTTAACAAAATATCCACAACCAAGCCAGAGACCCACCGCACACCAACAACAAAACTGAGAGGCATGCTTGCGCGAGGATCCTTTGGGTCAAGGTTACGTCAGACAGTACCGGCATGACGCTCAGTAAGCTGCATAGACGGAACTATTTTGGCACAGCCAAGCTGACATCACACAAAAGGCCGGCGGGCGGGTAAGGTTATTGTTCAGCTTGGTTTCGATTCAGCTTCATATTGTTTCTGATATTATGGACCGATGTCAGTCCACACCGCAGGCGAATAATTCGATGCATCGCTGCCGCACTCCGAATCATTTCGTCGTACGTGAGTGGTCGAAGCGTATATGTCAAGGAGTTTCCATGGCATGATGCAATTCCTTCACGACAGTGATCAATACATTCTAAAGAAATAGCCACCTACCAATGACGTCACTCCATCCGGCAGCTGCTTGCCTACGCTATTGAAAACACGTAAGCTCGTAGTAGGTTAATAGTTTGGAGGCCAGAATCGTTTAATGCTTTCGCCTCAATAGACCACGGCCATTCCAAATAAGCAATGGCTCTTTCAATACGTCCTTTCACGCAAACCCTATGGCGGGGACGCTGGCCGTGCCGTTGGTGCAGCAACGGCGCTGGTGCGACGGCAACTGTTGGTGCAGCGACGGCGCTGGTGCGACGGCAGCTGCTGGCGCGGCGACGGAGCGCGGGCGGTGGCGCAGAGAGCGGCGGCCTCATCGCGCAGCGCCACCGACTCTCACGGCTCGACCCAACATTGTCGGGTCGAGCCGAGCCGCGCCACTGCTGACCGCGCCTGGGCGCTCGGTCAGCAGCGGCGGCGCGGCGCGGCGGCCCGTGTGGGACGACTGGGAGGGCTGGCGGCTAAGGAGGGCTGACCTGGCCGCTGAGGAGGGCCGAGGAGGGCTGACCTGACCGCCGAGGAGGGCTGACCTGACCGCTGAGGAGGGCTGACCTGATTGCTGAGGAGGGCTGACCTGGCCGCTGAGGAGGGCCGAGGAGGGCTGACCTGGCCGCTGATGGGGGCTGACCGCTGAGGGGGGGGGGGGGGGGCTGAAGAGGGCTGGTCTGGCTGCTGAGGAGGGCCGAGGAGCGCTGACCTGGCTGCTGGGGAGGACTGGCCGCTGAGGAAGGCCGCTGAGGGAGGATGGCCGCTGAGGGGAAGTCTAGTCGCTGCATTATCAACATAACTCGATTGAGCAGAAACGGCCACGTCTATGTTGTAGCCTTTTGTGACCTGGGTGCGTCTTATAAAGCGAACTATAATGCAATTTTAAATGCCGTCATTACCACCTCCTTTGATATTTACCGTTATTGGAAGCCTCACTGATGTGAGAAACGTGGCAGTGCTATAAATTCAAAAAAAGGCCTTGCACCTTTAGATGAAACAATATGAATGCGTGTAGTCTAAAATTCAGGACAGTGTCGTCCATTCCCAAATACGTTTTCAGTATAACCTATAGGAATGCCGTCATAACCGTCCCCTGCGGGTTTGGGGCAAACAATTTTCCCCTTATAAATTTGTTAATCAGACGCAAAATACCAAGTGCAAAAATGCTTCAGGACTTTCATATTTACGCCATTAGGTTCTTGATATCTAGCTCACCATAATGACACCTCCATAAATACGCATGATGTACCATGAAGTGTGCTAGACGCGAGGCGAAACGATTTTCATTTTAACCTCCCGATTCTGCCACGTGGCGGGTGACTTCGGAAGGAGTAAGTGAAACAAGCGAGAGAGGAGGAGGTCAACCGCACAAAATACCACAGAAACGCGTCCACCGCATGCGTGCACATAGGTGACGCGGTGGTGCGTGGGCTCACGTTCGTTGGTGAAAATGCATTTACTTTGAATACAAGCGGTTGTCGCGGTTCGCGGTTTGTGCTACAAGCGGTCGTCACCAAAGCTTTCCGTTTTTGATTCCTTCCATTTGTTTGCCCAAAGTTATCATACTGCTAAGACCCTACATACATAGAAAGCCATAAATGAACGATCTTTCAAACATAAAAGCTCTCGCCAGCAACGAAACGCACCTAAGTAACAGCAACGCCGCTTAGCGGCCAGAGTGAAGCAATGCAAAGGATGATCTCGCCAGCCGGTGTTTCCAGCCGGGCTGCTCCTTGGTCGTCACTTTAAATGTTTAATTGGTGTTTGATATGGCGACGTGGCCGCGTTTCGTCCGGCTCCGGGTGGCAGCGTGCGTGTTTTCGTCTGTGTTTTTGCCAGCCGGTCACCCGTTACGGCTCTAACGATAGCGCGCCGGCCGTCCGGACAGATGACGCCGACAGGGGGCGGCCGGTGGCGGCGCGCTGCCGTAAACAGCCACCTCCACGGGCCCGGGCGCGGGCCCCCGGCCGCCCGGCGCGCGCCCGTCCCCGTTCCGGCCACTTACCCGGTTTACATGGGCAGCCGAGGATAATTCGAATTAAGATCGGAACGGATCATGCGACGTTAACCCTCTCGGCGAGGGGCGTTTACATGGGCGAAACCGGCTTTACGTCGGATTAACGGTCGATAGTTCGATCCCGCTTAGTTCGAACCAAGGAACGGGTTATGGGCGAAAACTGCGCTTTTGAGGCGAACTGAACAAAACAAGAAGAAAAAAGCCGGTACTCTGCGTATGGATGGCGAATGTCATGAGCCATGGTGGGCGCGAGACAGCTTTGAGGGCGAGGAGGAAGATGGACTCCGTTGGAAAAATGATCTGTGCGGGACTCATAGGCTTTGTAGCTACAGCACAAGCCATAGCACTTGAAACACAGGAGTTGCGCAGTCAGCACTGCCAAATCTGTCACATAAGCAGTGTTATATGCAAATTTTTACTAGCAGGAAACTGGCTAGCACGAAATCAGTATTTTCTTGTATTGGCCAATGACACTCACAAACTTACCACACTCATCAGTATGCCACCCAGCATCACGTCATCTACTTTGCGCAGCCCAAGAACACATTACCTAATCCCGCACCAATGCATTTATGAGCAGCCTGCAACAGTGAGCTAAGCTACAGAAATGACTCGTGAATGCTACATAGTGGCAAAAATTGTGCAACTATGTTGTCTTTCCCCATCCAATGCATCATCAGTACCTGAGGGCAGCATTGCCATTTAGACTTGGCATGGACTGGCAAGTCAGAATGCAGCTATTTGCTTTCTTGACATACTAGGGTTTGAAATACTGCTTTGATATCCTTGCAGTCAACAGCATTGGCTGATATGGACTGATGGCTAGGTGGCACAAACAGCCGTGTTCGCACAGTCCAAAGATCATAACGTGAACCAGCCCCAAAGCTGTCATGACAAAAGCAATCTGGGCTCAAAATTCATAACAAATGATTAATTATAGCAACAGCTCAATTATCCACCTCATGGTTTGCAAAGATACGTGTCACAAAAAAGCACCGAGGCAACATATTTACTCACCAGTACAAAAACAGGTAATGATGTGCACTGCATATGTTCTCTGCACATCATGTGGCATTAGGTTAGGTTTACTTAGTTTATGCACTGTTTTCTTCCACATGAAATGCACAACCCTGGATTTGACAGAGTACTGATGACAGCTAATTTCATCCAGTGCTCACGTTTGCTTTCTTGACATTTTGGAACCATCACTGGGCAATTTTGGTCCCATCATTAAAATAGTTCACATTCTGCACTGACTGCAATGATCTATTGCCTATATTTGTTGATCCTTTGCATCATGCACGAATTATTGAGTTACCTATCTCACACACATTAAACCGACAAGCAACAAACAGCCTAATTGCATCAAAAACAAATATTCCAGCCCCCGCTTCCTTGCCAGTTGGTCTACCAGTGTGACATAACTTCATATTCCTTGACAAGCCAGTCACCAATATCCAGCACATCCCTCCTGCCAATAGGTGGTCAACCAAATGTTCAAGTCACAGGAGGAATGTCTGCAAAATCAATCCTGGGGCATTTATGTATTCACCTAATGAAAGAAACTATTGGTACTCCCTGCAAGAATTGTTGAACAGTTGAATTACCTACCTAGTGGCCTGCAAAGACACCCATCACAAAAAAGCACCAAGGTGACATATTTAATCACCAGCACAAAAACAGGTGATGATATGCAACACAGACGTGTTCTCCATGCAGCATGTGCCATCGTGTTAGGTGTTAGTTTATGCACTGTTTTCCTGCACATGGAACACACAAACTTGGATTTAGCAGAGTAATGATGACAACCATTTTCATCCAGTGTTCACATTTGCTTTCTTGCTGTTTTGACCCCATCATTGGGCAATTTCGGTCCTACCATTAAAAAAGTTCACATTCTGAGCTGACTGCAATGATCTATATTTGTTCATCCGTCATATCATGCAGCAATTTTTAAGCTACCTTTCTCACACAAATTAAACCGACAAGCAACCAGCATCCTAATTTAAGGAACATCTGCAAAAAAACTCCTGGGGACTTAAGGTATTAACTTAATGAACAAAACTTGGAGGCATTCTCTGCAAGAATTTTGAGCAATCCAAAAATTAAAATGAGAACAAGTCAAAGCTATATAAAATAACCATATTACCTCCATCTGGCTTTTGGACGCATGGAGCCTGCCCCAGATGTAAACTAATCTAACCTTTAGGCGGAAAGATAGCACCAAACACCGTCGACGCCTGCTGTCTGCATAGATCAAGCGCCTAGCAAGGCTAAATTACGTGAGCATTTCTGTGCTGCTAGCCACTCAAGGCCCTCAATAATAAGAGTAGTTTTAGCAGCATGATGTCAACTTCACCTTCCTTCTCTTTTCCCCTACCATCTTGGACTTGAACCGTCTCGAGCAATAGCTAAAAACCCGTGGAAAAGCGGTAACACCGCACAAAGCTGAAATGGCTATGAACAGAACTGCGTGCGCCAGGCATTTTTCTTTTTTTTTGTTTAGACAGCTGACGGCCGATAATTCGGACGAAATCCCTTCCTGAACGGATGATCCTCTCACGGGAAGGGATTTCCTCCGGCGCACGATTCGAATCAGCGGAACGGCGCGTGAGTGTATACATGGGCCGGATAATTCGGATCGAGGACGGGTCCCGGCTTAATTCGAATCACAGCTGCCCATGTAAACAGGGTAACTGTATCGCGGGTCTGGCCTGTGGCCGTCCGCGCCGCCACCGCCAGCGCATCATCCATCCCCTGGGCAGGTACCACGGGAACGGGCAGCCTGCCGCCGCTTTAACGGACTGGTTCGAGTCAGATAGAAGACAAACGCCGTGTGGATATCGCCCGGAGCGGCCGGCGGCGGGCTCCATTGGCTCACGGCCGGTCATGATGAATGCCCGCAGGCGATACGTCTCAGAGCAAGGCAGGCGGCCGCCGCCAAGAAGCCCAAGATGGATGTGCGGCCATCGACTGTGATAGAGAACATGGCTCAAACGAAGCCGGGTACGCAACAGGAGACGACGCTGTCGGTGCTGCGGCCAGCACCTGACAAGGTGACGAACACGGGCAGCGGGAGCCAGGTGAGACCATCATCTGCCCCTGTCCTCTCGGCCGTAAGCCACATCGGATCCCGTGTCCCCGAAAAGCAGCAGGTTTGCCCTCAGCGTGACCTGTCTGGACGCGATGTCAGCTCTAGTCCGGCTCACTCTGCGGGTGAACACACGCGTGGTCCGCGCGTGTTTGGGCGCGGCAGATCACTGGTGACTGCGGTGAGCCTTACTTACGCAACGCCCTGTTGTGCCTATCTCTATGTGGGTCGCATGTGTCCTTTCGAGACATGACAATTAGAAGCTCTGAATTACCAGATGCATTAGGATTAATAGGCGTCAAAAGCACTGCTGCACACCGTGCTATCCCTGACTGGACGCGGCGTCAACGGACACATTAGTTTGCTTTCAAAGGCTCCTGTCCAGAGCCTGCGCGGCGTGTCATGTGTGCCTGAGTCCGACATCGGTCTCCATCAGGCATCAACAACACGACATCTGTCTCCATCAGGCATCAACTCCGCACATCCCATCGGCCGCCAGGCATCCCATCGGCCGCTGTGCGCTTAAACGGTCCACTCAGTTATGTTAAGCATGCGGCGGGCAAATGCGAGCGACCAATGCCATCACTGTCTGAATTCACGCTTAGCCCGCTTAAAGCTGCATCCGTCTTGGGTAAGGATTAATGTTGAATCTCAGCGACTAGAGCAGATGAAGACGTGAAGCTGGCGATGCGGTGCAGTATATTCTGTCGGTTACAACTCGCTAGTGAATCTCAACAATCTCCGACCAATAGCCTCGTCAGTAATCGATCGGGAAGCGGTCGATTAATGACGAAGTTATGCCACCTGCACAATTTTCAGCGAAGGTCGTCCTTTCAACACATTTATGAAAGCTGTTGGAGTTGATCTCTGAAGGTGTCTGGCTTTATCATCTTAGTTTTGCGCGTTGTCATAATAGCTGACGTCTTACATATCTCCTGCCGCCCCTTCTGTTGCCGTTCCGAGCCACATGAGGGGTCTGACTAGCACAGCGTCCGTCTGTGCGCGCTGTAACTAACTGTACGTGTGCGCCTGTTCTTCTGTATGCCGTAGGGGATGATCAGGCCCCATACGCACGACTGCACATTAGGTGTCATACGCATGAATGCACATTGCGATATCACTGATTGGACGCATCCATTAGAGCTTTATTGGGAGCCGTAATGCTTCGTGCATGCCTGCAAGTAGGTAAGCTCAAGCAATTGAAGTTTACGTGACTGGAATTCGTCCGTAATCCAAGGCGAACTACATAATGACGAAATTCGTTTGAGGACGACAAACATAATGCTTTATTGGGGTCATTAAAAATTAAGACAACACACAAGGAAATGGCCGGGCATGTGTGCTTGGAGCTAGCTGAATTTGCACAGGCCCGACGTTGTACGAGTAGAAGACTTTCAATTACAACAGCCAGACTTCCGGCAATTTTGTTTGGCGGCGCCTGGTTTGTACATCATGTTCCACATTAGGGTTTGAGCCCTACGCCAACGTTTCGCATGACTTAACCGGCTGTCTGTTCCGCCTCTGGACAGCTCGTCCCCTGACACACGGCCAGTCTCTGACAGCACACAACAGAGCCATGCTCATCACTCCACCGGTACGCACTCCCGATATCTCGCGAGCTCTCGCCGGGCGCAGCACGCACTGGGCTGTCCAGGACCGCGCGTGCGTCCCCGGAGCCCTGTCTCATCATCAACAGCGCATGTCCGAGTGGGCGAGTCTGCCCGCCGTGCGATGAGGCGCATCTTGAGCAGGTGGCCGGCCGCGCCCGTCCGCATGATGGCGGTAGCTCGGTCAGCGGAGGCCGCCGCCTCCGGGGAACGGATCAGACGGCGGGAGCCGCCGCCTCCGTGGAGCGGATCAGACGGCGGGAGCCGCCGCCTCCGTGGAGCGGATCAGACGGCGAGCGCCAACGCAGGACCATCATGACCCTATTTGGCACGCGTTGTGCGCGGACCAGTCTTATTGGTTAAGCGTTGGTACACAAGATGTGGGAAGTATAAGACGGAGCTGTAAATGACGGGTATGCTCAAGAGGCCGTAAAAGGCAACGGAGGTCCAAACGAGCACCGAAATACCCAGTTCAGACCTACACAAACGCAAGTTTAGATCACCGCAATGCTCCAGAACTCTCTTCCTGCAAGTTACTCAGCTCTGCTAACAGCGGTCGGAAGCATGGCGACGGACAGGCGGGTGGCGTGGGCGAGCGGGGCTGGGACGACGGCACCGCCACAGCGGGCGGGGCAGGTGGCTGCGATGTCGGCCGGCGCCGCCGCGGAGAGGGCGGCAACGGCCCCGTCTCCTTGGGGAGCGAGACGGGACTGCTGCCGTCGGTAGGCGCGTGGCACTGTGGACCGCCGGTAATGGGGCGGGCCGACAGGGCGGCGCGACTGGAGGCGTGTCACGCTGCCACTACCGCCTCCCTCCCGGCCCTGCTGAGCTGGGCACGCCCCCACTGCCTTGTGCGGGCTCTGGACAGACTGGCCCACCCCTGCTTCGAATCAAAACGAGGAAAACGTCCTGTATATCTCTGCGCTGCAAGCAAGTGTTTCATTTTCCCTTGGAGGGCTATAATGTGCCGCACCAGGCGCCGGGGGGCTTTATCTGATTCCCCGCGCGCGGCGCCACTGAATGGTGTTGTTTTTGTGGCGCCAGCCCGCGCCCGCCTTATAATGCACGCTAATGGGACCAGCCAGTGCCAGTCTGTCCCCGCGATGCCGTCGGAACGTAACTTCCATCCATCGGCCGTCTTGATGGTTATTGCCAATTCAGCAAGTTACGACATTGGCCCGAGCATCGGCCCAGTTAACAGCCGGCGGCGGCGACGGCGGTGGCCGCCGTCGGTCGGCTGCGAACCGCGGGATTTGTCACGGCGCCAGTTCGCAAGTGTGCCCGTCAGCATTGGTGAATGACGCTTCCTGGTCAATAAAATTAGGCGCCGAATGGAAGATCGTGCGTCTTTACTTACCATGCATGAATGAAATGAAGATAAATGAGTGGCAAAGATAAAATAGAAATGCAGCGTAAGGAAACGTATATCCGTCTTAGTGATTGTGTGAGGAACATTCACTCAACGCAGAGTCGGTGCAGCAGAGGGAGGTTGAACCGCCCCCCCCCCCCCCCCTCCAGGTTCCAGCCCCCAGGAGAGGGGGCTGAAATATGCCTTTTCCCCCTCAAAATTTTCGGAGGCTCCTTTTGCCGAAACGAATAGTGCTGTAGCTGCACATACGTGATCACAATTCAGATGAGGAAGGCTCCCATTTCAGAGGCACTTTCCCCAAATCAGTACTCCCGAGCAGGATATCCATTTAAAGCATCGATATCCTTTTAAAGTTTCGCTGGTTCTGATCAAACTGCCTGTTCTGGGATAAGCAGAACGTTTCCTGTACTTGAAGGCCACTGCGTGAATCCGGAGAATTCTATTCTGGATTAGGGGGCCACTTATGCATCAGAGATCACCGCTGCCAAAACAGAATGTCAGTTTAGGAAGACGCCGACCGGCCACTGATGGACACTATTGTCTTAGGAATACAATCAGCTCCGCTGACTACTTTTCAACTTCCGGCTCCAGCAGGGTCAGTACAGCGACCAGTCCACCACAACTGCAGCAAAGTGGACGACCTCCACCCCTGCCCCGTCCCGAGTCAGCACAGAGGCCAGCCCTGCCGGAGCCGGCGCACTGTCCGGACCCGCCGGACCAGCGCCGCCCCGGCCACGTCCACATAACCCACGGACCGCCACCGGGTCACACACCGGCCCGCGGCCAGCACCCGGCCTCGTCCCACACCCAACACCCGGGCCGCCCGGCCTCGTTCACGACAACCCAGCCCGCCGAACGCCCCGGCCTCGTCCACACAACCCTAACCACGACAGCCACCGCTCGTCACAAACCCACCCGCCGGGGCACGCCCCGGCCACGTCCACAAACCCGGACCCACGACCAGCCAGCCGCCCGACCACCCGCCCGCGGACCAGCACAACCCCGGCCTCGTCCACACAACCCTAACCCACCGGACTAGCGCAGCCCCGGCTTCGTCCACACAACCCGACCCACCGGACTAGCGCAGCCCCGGCCTCGTTCACATAACCCGGACCCGCCGGACCAGCGCCGCCCCGGCCACGTCCACATAACCCGGACCCGCCGGACCAGTGCAGCCCAGGCTTTGTCCACACAAACATAGCGACTGCTGCCATCTGCCAACCCCATGCTAGTCCGAGGGCGTCCGTTTGGCTTTAGAGAGCTGAATACACATGGTGTTGGGCCTGCTTGTTAACCCCGCCGCCTTTCACAACCACAGGAGGAGGACGATGACGACGACGATGAGGGTCAAGAGGACGGACCGGACATCTCGTCGCCCAACGAAGCCGAGGACTGTCACATCATCACCAACAAGTCGTGTGCGGAGCTGCCGCTTGTCTCCCTCCCCATCTCAAGGTGATTGGTGACGAACGACGCCACCCGCTACTGGCATACAGTGCGTGCCTGTCTTCTTCCAAGACTTACATTAGAGGTTCCGTCTACCACATAGCTGACCGTTGGCCCGTACAGTCACACAATGTTTTTGCCAACTCAAGTCCACGTGCAATGTTTTACGCTCGCTTCTAACGCCGTTAACTGCGAGAATTTCTCGCAGGCGCATTGTCTGAAAACCAGTTTTGAATTGTGCAGCTGCCTCTCTGAAAGCACGGTTAGAGATGAACGAAGGAGGTATTTCGCTTTTTTAATTTGTCAAACAAAATATTAAAGTCATCTGCTGGGATGCATTCTTATGGCACCGAGAAACGTACCTGCAAGAACGCGGCACCAATACCTACGCCCGAAAATGTTTGTTGCGTCCAGTGACAGTATTTGCCGGAGCCTCATCAAATGCCAGCGGATTTGGTTTTTCCGCGATTCGCGTTGGGTGGCTTATGTAAATGGTTACCAACACCATGAAGGTTCGCACGAGGAACGCGACTATGGTCCGCTGTTGAGAAGGGATTCGGTGCATCGTCTAGAAAGCAGTGAGGAGATCGCTCTCGGCAATGTTTTTTGTTGTCGGAAAGAAGTTCCCAGAAACAGTGAACTTCGACATCGCTCATATGTAAGTTTTATACAACAACAAAATAAGATCTACGGAAAGTAGCAAATGACAAATAATGTTGGGAAGTGGTTTTGATGGGAAGTTTTGATAAACACCGTGGCGTCACATGAGGTACAACAAACGCACCACTCGTCTGCACGCAGACAGGTCAACTTGGAAAAGATCACGCGACGAAATATCTTTTAGACTTCGTATGAAAACAAATGTAGCTGATAATTCGCTTGGGATAAAATAACCCTATGATGTTCAATACATTATTTTCTGTCGCGTAATTTGTGATGTTGAGCATTCGGTATTTCGCATGATGTCGCGTGATTTTTTATTCAGATTTTGTCTCGTGGTTTTGTTTCCTCGCTGTGAAAGTTAATGCTATGATGATTCGTGCATCAAAGCGTTGACCTATTGATACAAAAAGCGACTGTTGTCCCGGCCATTAAGCTAACTCCTATGGCATATATGTATGTATATATATATATATATATATATATATATATATATATATATATATATTGGAATATTTTGGCAGAATTCTTTCTCTGATGCATGTTTGATTAAAAATAACTGCTGACTCAGCACTGACGAGCTTTTTGATGCATCGTTCTGGTTTCCGGGCCTTTGACTTTGCGTTATCGCGTAGATTAAAGATGGTTCGCACAAAATTACTCATATATTCATCACTCCTTCCATTATAACGTTTCGAGATCTTATCTCATCTTCGGAGAAGACTAAATTGCGCAAGAAATAAATTTTGAGTTTTAAACGATGAAAAATTGTGCACTGCTGTTGGAAAACATCTCTTGGTACGGAGAACATAAATGAAGCATAACTAATTGAAGTAAGACGGATCGCTATTTTCATTTTCATACATGTAAAAAACACTCATAATGGGAACGTCACAAAGACACAATGGGAACACTATTGTCACAATCACATCAGAAGTGCTCACCGCCTACCACCTAGTAGTTCAAGAGTTTTGCAAGAATTTGTCTGTCTGTTTAAGGCCGGAGAGAGTTCGTTAATGAATATGCTTTCCCAAATTTGAAGGCGTCTTCTGTCACTGCACGTCCGTAAAATGTCAGTGCTGTCTGTCAGTTGTTGTCGTGTCAATGTCATGTCGTGTTCCTGTCGCATGTGGTTCAGAGGTGCCCCGTCACGTAAGTGCATTGTCAGGCGTCGTGAGAGTGTCGTTGTGGTCACACCAATGTAGTGTATGGGACGAAGTTTGCAGCCTTCGATGTTGCATTGAAATTGATACACTACATTGGTGCATTTTAGTTTGTCGGGTTTGTCTGGGCTGTTTCTGACAAGAAAGTTTGATATTTTCTTATTACAATAACAAATAGCAATGTCTATTTTGTGGTCGTTTTTGTCTTTAGCATGTTGAGAGATAATTTCCCGTAAAGCCTTTTCGTCCTGTTTTTGGGCAGATGTCATTTGATTTTGATAGTACAGTTTGACGGTCGGTTGGATGTCTTGCCTTGGTTTGCCTTCAAAATGTCTTGTCATATGTCGTTGTGTCCCGTTTTCAATGTCAGAATTTGAAAAACCGTTGTTCACCAAGATCTGTCTGATTCGTGTCAATTCTGAATGTAGTCCTATCCAATCAGAGTAGTGCTTAAATGCTCGTCTAAGGACCTTATGACGCTAATTTTGTAGCATCGAAGACACTCACTGTCAGCATTTAAGCACCGTCCGTTGTTAGTCTGTTTTCGGTATACAGTCGTTTTGAGTTGTTGTCCTTGTCCATCGACAGCCACGTCAAGAAAGGGTATTACATTTTGCACACTTAGCTCTGTTGTGAATTTTACGCCTTCAAGGGTGTTTGTGAGATGTCCTAGTTGGTAAATGTCCCTAACTTCTACAAAGATATCGTCTACGTAGCGGCAGTAAATGTCCGATCTTATGTCGTCATTTTGTAGTATGTCGGCTTCTACGTGTCCCATAAAAAATTGGCGAATAGAGGTCCTAGAGGTGATCCCATCGCAACACCTTCAATTTGGCAATACATTCGGCCATCAGGCCCGCGGAAAGAAACTTCCAACGTGCAGGCTTCTAGTACTTGTTCAAGAAGGTGCCTTGATATTTTGAGAGGAGGAATTTCAGGATGATTGTAGACGCGGTCAAGGATGATGGATATAGTTCTTTCAATGGGCACGTTTGTAAAAAGATTTTAAACATCTAGAGAGGCTAGTAGGCCCATGGGTTGACGAGATGTCCCACTTGCCAGGACGAAATTAGATTAAAGATGGTTACATATATATATATATATATATATATATATATATCATTATTATAACCGTATTTTCCTGAGCTATGAGTTGGTGGGCGGTGTGCACTATTGATGTGATTGTGGCAATAGCGTTCTCATTGTGTCTTTATAGTGTTCCCATCATGAGTGCTTCTTATATGTATCAGAGTGAAAATGGGATTTTGTTTTATTTCAATTAGGTGTGCTTCATTTATGTTCTCCGTACCAAAAGATGTGTTCCAACAGTAGTGCACAAGTTTTTATCCTTTAAAACTCAAAAGTTATTTCTTGTGCCATTCAGTCTTCTCCGACGATGAGATAGGAGCTCGAAACTTTAGAATGTAAGGAGCGATGAATATATGAGTAACTTTGTGCGATCGTCTTTAATCTAAGCGAGGATGCCAAGTCAAAGGCGCGGAAACTGGAACGATGCGTCAAAAAGCTCGTCAATACTGAGTCAACAGGTATTCTTAATAAAACATGTATATATATATATATATATATATATATATATATATATATATATATATATATATATAGATAGTGGCGTCTATATAAGTAATGTGGCCATACGTATGCCTGAAAAGACCGCGTTTTGGCCTTGATATGCACCCAGCACAGAAAAAAACAGCCAACCCAGCTGACAACGCTTTGTCCGTACGTGCCGAACTAATAGTCTGAAAAGTCACCAACTTGCACCGCTTCAGCAGAAACACTTTGATGGCAGGAGAGAAAAACTACGGGGATTGGACAAGCGACCTCATTTCAAAATGGGCTCAAATGACTTATTAATTCTGACTGAGCGGTTAAGTACCTCAGAGGCTGGGCAGGTAAATGCACACTATTTCTTTACACAGTTTGTAGTTATATGTATCCAAAACGTCCGCGGCCGTACGATCACAGCGACGTCTGTCTCCGGCTGCGGACGGACACCGCTGACTTCGCCGGGCATGTACAGCTGTAGCAGGGATCGGACTACAGTCAAGCCGGCTGTAACATTCTGGCAGATAAGATACCCTGCCCTCTACCGCTTTCCATCATGTGTTCAGCTAAGAGCATTCCATTCCCTTTGCTGTATAGAATGCGTTAGTCGGAGTGCAAAGCTGACTTCCATGCAGCGTGCCAATAGTTTATCATTAATATCATCAAGACATGGGATCCAGAATATTAAGTGGATGCCCTCTTGGGTGTTGAGCATACTAGACAGCTAAGGATTTGGATGCGTTTCTCATCAGGATCAATCGCGTTTATACGCTACTGCTAAATAAAACCTCCTGCTGACTTTGCTGCTCTATATCTCAGATACCTGGGTCAATATTTGGTTATCATGCAGTTATCGTCGGCAATGTTTTTTACCTAAAAATAAACGTTTTAGGAGCAATCCCCGCCTATACCGAGTTTGCGGTCGCTTAAAACAGTAACATCTGTTTGAAGACTTAACTGTTCGCCTCGTCTTTAATCCATCCATGTCAGCTTCATTTGGATAGCCTGACTAGTTTCGCTTTAGCGTTCATTTATCATAGTTTGCTTCACAATTTTCCGACAATTTTCCGCAACTTAAAAAGCATCGTTAGTTTTCCCACTGCAATCGCTCTCAAATCGAGACCATCAGACGCCGCCAGGAGATAATCCTAAGTCCGAGGGCAATTACGAGCCCGAGTTAACGTCAAACAACGCCAAGTTCCGCATTCCAAATGCCGCGTCTCGCTTCGCCTTTAAGCACATGCTAGCCGAAAAAAATCAGCCGCTGCCGAGTCTTGTTGACCAGATTAATCGTTTAATCAGAGCTGTGCAAATCTTCTTGAAGTAGGGAGTCTTAGCCAGGGCTATCCTCACAGCTGGAGGCTCCGTGTTGACTGATATATAGAGGCTCTCCGGGGGCAGAATGCCGCGTGAAATTACGACGAAGCTCGCAATGAAAAGCGAGGCGATGGAGACGTTCCCGGCCGTGACCGTCATTGCTGCGAAAGCACACACCAGGTCTGACCGGCAGCGCCAAGTGGCCATGATATTGAGGGAGTCGCCCGCGCAGGCGGCGGCCATCTGTTTCGTGAAGTCTGTTGTTTCGGGGTCGGAAGATTGTAGTACACACTCTGCCGAAATATTAGTTCTTGGCCTTCTGACAATTCGCTCTTAGCGAAATTCAAGAACTGTGGTTAATCTGTTCAGCGGCCTTTTTTAATGGCACCGGCGAACAATTGCTTGATGAGAGCAGGTAATAATTCCACAATATTCAGGTTGCCGACGCTCGATTTTCAAACCTGGTGGTTCACGTAAGAATGTGTGAAGCTTTGAATTTAAGTCTCCTATTTTTCGAAATGGCCTGAGTTCGACGCCAAGGCGACACTCTCAGTGCTTTGTTTCGTTTCGCCTTAAATGCGATAAATTCTTTCCATTTTCGATACTCATCTCATCGGCCACCAAACCTACAAAACATCTTAATAACACCTCGCACGCATCCACCTCTGCGCGCGGGATTGCCTGACAAGCTGCCGTCCCCCCGCGCCATTCGTGCCGCCCGGCCGTCCTCATCTCCGGCGTCGGAGGCGGATGTGGCTGTTTTCCGCCGCTCGATCGTCGCCACGTCGGACTGCCTGCGTCCGTCAGCACGGCCAGCGCTGCTGACTAGGCGTCGACCTGCTGAGTCGGGCAGGGTCACCGGCCGGGTCAGCACCGCCGGGTCGGACGCCGCGTCACCGGCTCCGCTTCGCGGTCCGAGCGGCGGTCTGGACGGTCCGGTCCCTGGGCCCCCGGTCAGGGCTCAGAATGCTTCACATCTGACAGACGGCCACCGCTGGCTCCAATGGACAGGCACAGGCACAGGCCACTCAGTAGATTGGGGTGGTAATTACAGCCCATGAGCCCACCGTTGATGCCCGCCGGACCTCTATATTTACGGGCAATTTCCGGACCGCCGTGCCTATAATCGCATATGGTATGTAATTGCTTGGTTCCAGCTATTTCTCTCAAGTGAGTGTCTGGACAACCGCAGATAATACTGCAACGTTCGAAGCAGCGGCCGTGTTCCCGATTTCGACCCCATTCACATCCTTCTCTGGCAACCCGTTTAGCCGATGACTCTGTGGGCGTATCCCGCTGCAACGTCGAGCCGAGCGCCTCTGTGACGTGCAGCTGACCCTGCACCACCGCTCCGTGACCCTGCACCTACCGCTCTGTGACCTGGGACTGCGCCGAGCGCTTCGGTGACGTGCAGCTGACCCTGCACTACCGCTCTGTGACCTGGGGCTGCGCCGAGAGCTTTGGTGACGTGCAGCTGACCCTGCACAGCCGCTCTGTGACCTGGGGCTGCGCCGAGCGCCTCTGTGACGTGCAGCTGACCCTGCACCACCGCTCTGTGACCTGGAGCTGCCTGGCTTGCAGTCCGGCGGGCCCCTCCGTCAGCGTGGTTGAAGCCAACGGACATCACGACTCGGGCTACGTGGACGACACGGCGCATGTGAACCACCTGGCGGCAGTGGCGGCCGGCGCCGGACCACGTGACAGTCTGCTGCCCAAGACGGCCGGAGCCGTCAAGGTATGACCCCACTCTTCGGTAAGCGGCCGGTACTCGCGCAGGGTCGCCGGCCGAGCCGCGCGTGCTGTAACGACTCACATTGCAGCTACCGGGATCCTCGGACCAATGCCGGCTCGCTGGTCAGAACAGCGGTCACGGGACCAGCATCGCGCAGTCGGCCCAGCGGTCACAGCGGCCAGCAACAGGCAACAGCGCGGCCAGCTTCAGACATCAACTGGGTTAGCCGTCGAGGCGGGGCTTGTGGCGGGCTAGCTCTATCGTCCTGCCCCAAGTTTCACCGTCGCTTTCATTCTGTATCTCTGAGACCATAAACGGATTGCAAAGGCGCTTAGAGTAAGCCAAGTACGCCGTGGATATTGTTTTTATTACGCTCTCTCCTGGCATATTCCGTGTTTCGTGACCAACATCAGCGACTGAAGTTATGAGCAGAACGTTTCCTGCGAGCGTTTCGTTGGAAACGGCTCTGAAAGCCTGAAATATATCTAAACATCAATGCATTTCGCTGCAATTGAGCTGTCATATACATTCGGAGCCAATCAAAGGGAGCAAAACTGTCCTCGCTCTGCCAGCAACTGGCCACCACCGGCCGTCCTGAGTGGAGACCGCTCCGACAGTTTAATCGCCTTGATATGCTTGCTAGTTGCCCCAAGCTTTAGACTGATCACAGCATGTGGTCTCAATGGGCTCCACCAAGGACAGCATTCCCATTTAGAGGATAATGTTTTGTGCACAACAAATGCAATTCAATGGAAGTTTGAGAGATGCCTCAAGCAGCCATGTCGCACATAGGCAGTGCTGCCATTCGGTCTTAATGTAGTATAATTGGGCTGGGCTCAACCGGTATGCTTCAAACCTATTCAATGCCTCTATAGATCATGACTCACTCTGTTCCCAAACCAGTTGATATCTGAATATTCATAAGTTAGGTAATCGATTCCTTTTTAAGCTAATAGGTGGGAAGAGAAAAAGTGTCGCAAATCCTTCCTAACGCGTCTGATGACCGATTTCGACGTCCGGGCTTGCAAAAAAAACTTCTTTCAGCGCGTTTAAAATCACAAAAGTCCTTGGGCACCGTGTCGACGTTTCACCATCCGCGCGGGTGCCGTGTGCACATATTTTTGCGAGCCGCAGTCCAAGCCGCGCTGCGGCCGCGCGACGCCACCTCGCGGGCCTTGCGCGAGCGGACCGTGCCCATCGATAGCTTACGGCGCGATTGCTGCCCACTGGCGTTTGGAACTGTCCAGCAGATAATTCACACACTAAACCGTAAAAACAAAGTCGCTCTTCGAAGTAAACAATGTGATTGATTGCAATCCTAAACGGACGTTAGGAAAACAGCCGTATCCAATGGTAGCGCGTCAGGTGTGTTTTATAACCCCATTTGCCTGATCCTCAGCATGGAACGTTTGTTTGCCGGTACGCGTTGGTCGGAAAACACGTGACCTCCATGCCGCAGCCGTCTGGCTCCTTTTTGTTACAGTTCGATGTCAAGCAGTTTTATCATGCAATGCGTGCCAATGAATTCGTGAGTTGCTGTGGGCCCCCACAGCAGCTCTAGGGATAAAGAAGATGTGACTACGGAAAAGAGGTGTGGCTGAGGACCCTCCAAACATCTCGGGTTTTTGTTATGAGCATTCCAGACCACATAGGTGCATTATTCGGGTGCCGGTTTTGAATGCCACCGCCGACTGGCAGCATTGAGTGGTTCTGTTTGTTAAAGTGCTTTGTGTTCACAAAAGGTATATCGATTATCGTCGTGTGGGCAGCGGCTTGGCCCTTTCCGCTTTGACAGCTGACACTGGACGAACGCCACACCCGTCTATTGGCTCTGCCCCTGGCGTGCGACGCAGTCAGCTCCCCCTCCCTTATTTCCTGCCTGAACCATCGCCCACATAAACTGGTCGTCTCTCTTTCGGCACTGCTCGCAATGCCGTGCATATAACTTGGCAGAGAGAGTACCGAGAGATTCGCGCTCTTTGACCTTAGCTCCTTTTTCGAGTAAAGTGGCACTGTATTGATGGCAGTTGCCAGCGCAGACCCTACGCAATTAAACAGACAGTTCCGTCGAACGAGTCCAAAATATCACGCCGCAGGGTCCGAGGTTTGAGTACGTCTCGATTCATCAGTATAATGAACATCGGATTCATCTTTCAGTCATGTCATATCATGGGTTGGACTTGATATCTCCTTTGGGATGTGTCCCCACGTAACGCTGGCTCCGTTACTGCCCGTTTAGTTAATTAACACAAAAACTGTACAAACATCAAAAATAGAGCTCGTTTATGCCACTATTTGAGCGCCCCCAAAATCTGCGCCCCCCCCCCCCCACCCCACCCCACTCCAATTAAGTGCTGCCTTTATGAACTCAGTTTCGTCTCATCTGTCGTTCTTTAAACCCGCGAATATTCGTCAACGTGGGATGCCTCTGGACTCCCTCGACTGATTTCTAAAAGGAAATGCATCGCCTTGTTCTTTCGTGGCACACTGCCACGGTGATGAGGGACCACATTACACATCCGTAACGCGTCGCACCACGAGGTGCAGCCGCTCATATACCAGCGATAGTCAAACCCATGAGCGGACCGTCTCATGCTTTTCAATTACATTTGAGGTCAACGAGGTCAGGCCTATCGCCACAACGATATGCAAATGCGTTGAAATGGTATTTTGCTGTTCCCTTCACAGAACCGACGCTGGGTGCATTTCACCTGCCCAGAGCGTTATTCAAACGTGCGCTTTGTACACGCGCCAGGCACCACGGCGTGCGCTCTCGCACCTCACAGCCGCACTGCGGCGCACCCTCGTGCTGTCGGCCCAATCTATCGTGTTAGTTACGGGCTATCTGTTCGGTAGCCGCGCCACCCTGCCCTGCCTCATTCGCAGTCGCAGCGGCGGCGACGGCCATCCGACACCGGCAGGCTGGAATAGAAATGGGCGTCCTGCGACTACTCGACCACTTTTTCAGGCTCAAATCTCCGGTGACAACAAATTGGCGAGCAAAAAGACAAGCGCGTGCGCGATGAAAGATAAGAAGACGAAACGAGGGGCGACTAGTCGCTTCACTATCTACAAAGTCAACAAGGCGAGCCGGAAGAAACGGGAGAAAAACTCTGCCAAGCGGGAGCGAAAGGCGACAAAGACTCTGGCCATCGTGCTTGGTAAGTGGTGAGCACGGCGAGAGGTGTTCTAGTTACGCATGGCAGGAATTATTAATCCAACATGATCGTACCATCGATGTTAGTCAAAGCTATTTGACCGCTCTAGAGCGAAATCATCATCAAGTAATAATGTCGCAGTCCTGCTTATTCTCGTTAATTTTGAGACGTCCCGTGAACAGACATGAGGCTTATGATCAGTGAATGGTATCAAGCTCAGTTTCTTGTTCAGCATTCGGCATATCCTCCGCCTTTGGCCTGAGCCCAGCACTCCAATGCCGAAACACTTAATTAAAAGCTTGGGTATGCGGTGTTGAACTAATGACCGCTGATTTATGGACCACCACTCGGTCCAATTTCGCGGCAAGGTCGATAACAGCACACGTTATATCGTGTGCCAGAAGTATTTCGTTTAACTGTATCAGCTAGTCACTAGGTTCAAATTAGCATTTTCCACGCGCCAGCGTTAACTGGTGCGGCACAATCCAAGAAGCCACCGAAACATTTCGGCGCTGAGTCGTGACCCGGCGCTAAGGTCAAGCCAATGTCACAGCTCCAGACATTATTCAGCGAGCCATCTCATAACACGCGCGGGCATTATATTCCGGTCGGAATGATGATTCCCAAATTAAACATTCTTGCATACAGTCGGAGATCGGAGGGCGGCCCGAGTTAAAGTTGGCCGGCCAGCGGCCGCGCGCAGCTGGCCGGGGGGATATTGGACCGCCGATTCCGGGCAGCGCCGCCGGAGCCGCCGGCCGGCTACAGAGCCCTGCTGCAGCCTGCCTGTCGACCTCAGAGAGGCGCGAGCCTCTAATGACCCGCCGACTGAGGCTGCCGCCGAGATGCCAGCCGCGCCTGACGAGCCTGCCAGCGGTGCAGCGCCCTGGCTAACTCTGACCCGAAGTTCATCGAACTTTGCGACTACTTGATGTCTCCTGGAATGAAATTCGCCCACCGGTAGTCATTTTGATAAAGGACATCTGATAAAGTATACATGGAGTTCAGAAGATTGATGTACAAAATGATAGTATTGTAATTGCATGCATCATGGAATGGATGGTGAAGTGATTGGATTAATGATAAAATCGCGCCATACCTAGATGCTGGAATATCTGCTGATCTTTTATTCAAAGTACTTCGGATATGCATACCACCGCGTCCGGGTGATCAATTGTCGTGTTCGGTTACGAAAGCTAAGTGTCTCTACGTGACTCGATCAAGCAGAGTTGTCAAGCCATCTGTTCAACACACCGATTCGATGTGCCTCCGATGGCCATTCCACCATCCGCCTGACTTCATCCCCAATCGACACCAGTTCACCGGTCCCGGCCGCGCGCCTGCGCCGTCCCTGCCGTAGCGCAGACGGCCCGCCGTCTCACGCAGCCCTCTGGCAGCCGACTGTGGCGGCGACGGGCGCTGACGTCGGCTGGCCTGTGTTGTCCCGCAGGCGTGTTCCTGGTCTGCTGGGTGCCGTTCTTCACCTGCAACGTGGTGGACGCCATCTGCATGAAGCTCGGCTCCGACTGCAGCCCGGGCTTGATGGCTTTCTTCTTCACCACCTGGATCGGCTACATGAACAGCTTTGCCAACCCCGTCATCTACACCATCTTCAACCTCGAATTCCGCAAGGCGTTCAAGAAGCTGCTCAGCTGCCGCAGCTGATTCCGTGGCGCCGGTCCTGACAGAGCGCGACTCTGACTCGGGTGTGGCGTTCATTGTGACTCGATATCTCTCGAGAGGGCTCGGTGCGAGCTACTGTACATACGCGAGTGTACATACGACACCAACCGACGCGGATATGTGTAAGCGTGTTGACTGTTGTCGCCAGAGACACAAACTATTTTGTCATGCGGAGCTTGCGCGCGGCGACGGGAGCTGATGGGCCCTCCGCGCGCAGCGCTCCCGCTCCCGTGTCAGATACTGTACAAACGTGGTGTGAGCGGGCGCGACCCGTCGAGCGCGACCCCGACGAACCCAATCAAACGGCGCGCGCGACGCGCCCCAGACTGGATCGCTGGTCCGGGACCAACCGCGCCGCCGGCCGGGGAGCGGGGTGGCCGCGGGGCGCGGGCGCCGCGGGGCCCGGCGCACTGAGTCCCGCCGGGCCACGCGGTGCGCCCCTGCGCCGCCCCCGCCCCACGCTAGGTGTCCAGCAGGCTGACTGTTGAAACAATAAATCCGGGACGGAGCCGCGCGTTTCGACGGCGGGGATGGGAGAATAGGTGCGGTCAGGCCGCGCCGGTCGGTTCTGAAGGAGAAGGAGAGGGAGCGGTCAGGGGTATTGGGCGCTCCGGTCGGTTCTGAAGGAGAAGGAGAGGGAGCGGTCAGGGGTATTGGGCGCTCCGGTCGGTTCTGAAGGAGAAGGAGAGGGGCAGCCAGGGGTCTCGGAGGCTCCGGTCGGTGCGGATGGCTGCCGCCGGTCGGTTTGATGTCGCGGGATTGTGATGGTGTTGGTGGTGGAGACATGTAAACATAGGCACACACTTTGCACTCTCTATCTTTGTATCTCCGAGCTCCGATCGAGACTGGTCACACGAGGCGCCGTTTGACAGGAACCCTGACGGCCACACAGGGTAGGAACCCTGACAGGAGCCCCGATGGCCACACGGGACAGGAGCCCTAACAGGAGCCCTGACAGAAGCCCCCGACCGCCACACAGCACAGGAGTCCTGACAGGAGCCCCGACGGCCACACAGGGTAGGAACCCTGACAGGAGCCCCGATGGCCACAGAGGACAGGAGCCCTAACAAGAGCCCTGACAGAAGCCCCCGACCGGCCACACAGCACAGGAGCCCTGACAGGAGCCCCGACGGCCACACTGCCTGTACTTCAGGGCTCCTTAGGACTCCTTAGGGAATGATGACAAACGGTGCAAGAAGATCTGGACTGTCCGGGATAGGAGGACAGAAGAAAAACACATTGACCTGGAAATAAGCCGTGGCGTACCCAAAGAGAACGGGATGAAATGGGTCTGTGACTCCCTACCTCGGAGAAAGTCCCTTTAATGCCGGGCTTGGGGTCCTCCGCGTTACGCGTTGGTGTCTCCGACCTAGGCTGAAAGAAGAGGGAGAACAAAAAAAAAGACACGAAAATAGAAACCGGCTTAAAAAGGCTAGATCTGGGACTCCTACGCGCTAGGCCGAGAATTCTGGGCATGCCGCTGGGCCTTTGTTAGCGTGCATAATGTGGTTCATTCTGGTTTCTGAGAACGATCCTGACCGTTCTGCAAAGGAGGCTTCTGTAGGCGTTTAAAGAGGGTGCTTAACTGCCGGAGAAGTGGAAGCGCGTCGAGACGGCTCAGACCCTGCTAGAGCGCTATCATGACGGCAAGTCGCTGCTGCGGTGTGGTTTTTGGATGGCAGCGTCTCTGCTCTGAACCAGAGGGCTAACAAACAAATTCGAGTTTCCTTTCGTCGATCAAATTCCCACTGCAGAGACGTCAGTCCGGCCAGGAGGGAGGTTGCGATTCGAGCCCACGGTAGACGAGCCATGATCGAGGCTTATGCTAGCCAGGTGGGCAAAGACGAGCTGGTTTTCACCGAGTTGATGATACGCCTCGGCCAGCATAAGCACCGCGAGATATTGGAACCAGCGCTTCTTCCCTGACATCGGGGCGCGCTGCCGTGATGTATGACATCCCACCAGAGTGGTGTGATCTGTCCGCACCCCGCGCAGCGTCCGCCAATATCTGGGGCCGGACCATCCACGCTGCATCGAGTTGGAAGCCTGGGCCTCTTAATACGCGTTAGGGGGGGGGGGGAGGGGGGTCCGTTTGACCTCTCCGAAGGTTTTTACAGTGTGATTTCTTTGCTTTGCATTATTATAGGCCATTGAATAGTGAATCTGTTCATTTGTTTATTTAGGACATAAGCATTCCGCAGGCAAAAGCCCAATTACGGAAGCAGACTTTTGGTTGGGTTCGATCAGACATCTTTTGGTATACAAAATTAGATGTACCTTGTGAGGTCGCTGACCGATGGAAGGTCAACCCAGGCCGTGGCTGTCACCGAAGGCAATTTCTAGGGAATCTTTCAGGGTCTGATGAGATAATCGAGTGGTTGACGTAGTCATACATGGCTAGAATAGCTCTGAAGGCCATTCTTTATAATTGCTCTCTCTCTCTCTCTCTCTCTCTCTCTCTCTCTCTCTCTCTCTCTCTCTCTCTCTCTCTCTCTCTCTCTCTCTCTCTCTCTCTCTCTCTCTCTCTCTCTCTCTCTCTCTCTCTCTCTCTCTCTCTCTCTATATGTTGTGTGATTAAAGTATGTGTCATATCATTGTTTTATCGTTGTAGATTTGTATCAATTTTCAGGCAATTTCATTTTCTTCGGCAATAAAACAATAAAATTTAAGAATACATCACATTCCATCGACCTAGGGTTAGGTATGTTCGTCAGACTGAGGCCAAGACCAGCTTGATTTTCCTTGGAGGGCTTGCTTTGAGGGGTAGACTCTGGTGTTTATTTGAAATGTCTTGATGATAGAGACCGCACCAGACGTCTTCCATAGGACTATTAAAGGTCAGAGTAAATCACGGACCTAAATGGCCCAAGTCAGCATTTTCTTTTAGGAGCATACCGCCTAGCGCAATCCGTGACGCTTATCCCCATGTGAAAAACCGGAACACTATCATAAGATTTCGGTCACCATGACCTTCTGAAGGTCAAGGAAAGTCACTGACCTGAAATAAATACCAGTGACCTTTTTCTTTAAAACGGGTTCCTATGGTCAAGACGGTTCCATGAGAAGGCCTGGGAGTACTTTGAAGCAGCAGTAATATCCTTATTCCCCGGAGAAAAACCAGGAGAATGGAAACATAGATGCGTTGATATTTCGGCAACACGCCTTTATCTAAACGAATAGCAGAAGTGAGCTCCTTCAACGCATGAATACTTCCTATCGAAATACCAACGCTCCCTTATCTCCATTCTCCTGGTTTTTCTCCGAATAATGAGGCTATTACTACTATCCATAAGTTAATTACCTTTTCTGACGCGAAGTGCATGGCCTAGTAACCTCAGAGTGTAACACAGGTAAGTTTACGTAAAGGTCAACCCACCCTGTGAATGTGGTAGTTTTTGAGATCTCAGGCGATCAGATTGTCCCAACCCCCAAAAGAGCAAGGGGTATCCAACCGGCCACCTGTGCGCGTGTTAAAGCCCGGACTTGGATCCGATGGATTGTTTTCCGTCTCGGGCGGCCTTGACTGCAGGATGTATCGTGGAGTAGGAATTGGGAACCTATAGTAATTTTATTCCCCAACAACAGCTGTGCATAAGGGGAAAACTGAAAACTTTTCCTCCATGTGACATGGGCTACGGCAACCATATTTCTCTTAGAAACTGATTGTAAAAACATTTATTCCAAAAAAGTATCTTCACTTCAAAATGTCGTATCTTTCATTTTCCCGCAACCACCAAGTTATGTATACATATATATATATATATATATATATATATATATATATATATATGCTTCCCAAGGTTGTAGTGTTGGCGTCTATCTAATCAGTCTTTGCTATATATTTCAGACGTTAGAACTGGTATTAGGCACAGGTGTTGTAATGTACATGCTGGTATACATCCTTACAAGTTCCTTAAATGGAATGTTTCGCTTTTGTATAGGCTATGGTGCCAAGAATGTCAATGCAGACACAGAGCCACACAGCCATCAACTTATTAAGCTTTTCCTGAGCTTGAACGCGATGCCTATCGGATTATTCACTTTTGCCACCGGATGTGGAACGACAGCATCAGCGCTCAGCCATCTGGGTGGGGACCGCCGCTGCCAGTCTGCCGACGTTGGGTGCGGTACGATGTGCAGCATGGCGCATCGCGGCCGAACTCCCGTTTCGCAAAATTTCAATGTTCTGAAGCCTTTGTGTCCAAAACAAGTGTCATGGTGATGGCCAGCATACACCGTTTAGCTTAGGAGGGAAAGATATGGACACCAAAAATGCAGTCAAACATGAGGCTTCGACCACCAGCGCAGGTTCATAGCTCTACTAGAGGTGCATGCCGCTCGGGGGATAGTCTCTAATTAGTATGAAAGGTGCGTGTACTTACCTGAAGTCCCAACATACATGACCACCCTAGACCATGCCCATTGCGTGGTCATTATAGCACTACGCTACAAACGCCACAAAAGAGGGCCAATGCCATCTAAGAGGTAATACAGGCACCTCTATTGTTCGCAACTCAGCTGAACCAACGCGTGGACAATGGCCGGCGGCGTATGCAAGTATGCCTTGGCCCTCATTGGTCCGACAACCGCTGTGTAAGCCGCACTCCATGTGCTGGGGCTGGGCGCGACATGGCATGGTATGGATTTGCCCACACTGGGTCCAAACCAGGGCTGTTCCGTTTTAAAATCGGTTAGGATGGGCTGAACCGATGAAGTTGATCTAACCTGCCCCCCAAAACGTTTTCACCCCGGATTTAAGACACTTTAGGTTGCGTGCCGGATGTTAGAATAAAGCAAACTTTTGTACAATATTTCTATAATTTCAAAAACGTTTTCCTGCGGAGGCATGACTTTCGCTTTGAAGACTACGTAAATCTGCATTTCCGTGAAAAAGATAGCATAAGTAATTCGTAGACAAAACATTAGTATTTCAAGCCCTCGTGATCAGCGATAACATGTGTCGTTCGTCGTTCACTTAATGTGCCACGAGACGCAGAGACGGTTTTATGCAGAATGGTGTGGCCTGACACATAAAGCCAAGTCGCCATCCTTATGCTTCCTATAGGAGACCCTGATGTATCGACTACTGCGAACTTTTCTCGCGGACAAATGTTCTGTTTAGTTAAGAGATCAGAATTAGCTTAGTTGCCAATTACGTAGTTATGAGCATTTCACTGAATGCAATATGTTGGCCACCGCCATCTTGAATTTTGGTTTAGTTTCGTAGCTTTTTTCTTGGTGGCTTTGGGGGTTGTGCGCCACCATTTTAGATGGGTTTTCTATGGCAGGGAGTTCATTCATGCAGTTCTTTTTACGTATTGCGCAAAACTAAAGTTCACATTGAGGGTTAAAGGCCAAGATTATAAAAAATAACAA